CGCCCCCGCCGCCCCCGTCCTGCCCCTCCGCGCCGTGATTGGGCCTGCTTGGTCTCGTTCCAGGACGGAACAGCGCCACCGTGCACCCCGTGCTGGAGAACACGTCGCTGGCCGAGTTCCTGCACGTGCTGCAGATGGTGCAGCGACAGCAGGGCGGCTCCTCGCCATCGGCCACGACCACCATGCCGCCGTCGACGCCGGGCAAGACGCGCAAGCTGGGCACGGCGGGCCTCACGGCGGGCCTCAACACCGGCCTGACCACCACGGGCTACTACGCGCAGCCGAGCTCTCCGAACACCATATTCAATGTGTTCCCCGGGCTGCGGGACGGTGGCGCGCCCGAGAAGAGGCGCTTCTCGCTGCGGCCCGCGTCACCCCCTCCGGGCCTCGGCACCGCGAATGGGACCACGTTCGCTCCGGCGCCCGCGGCCACCGCCAAACGGCGCATGTCCTTCTGGCCGTCCTTCGGCTCGGGCTCAGCCCCGGCCGACCAGACGCAGGCGGCCGCGAGTCCCCGGAAGAGCTCGACCGCCAGGAGGCTCTCGACGTTCTTCGGCGGTGGCACCTGCACGGACCCGGACCCGGATCAGGACTCAAACGACGAGGCGGGCACCGCACCCGCCAAGGTCACGAAGAAGCGACGCTTCTCGATCTGGCCGACGCTGGGGGTCATCGGGCGCAGCGCCGCCGTCGACCTGGATGAGAAGTCCCCGCCGGCGTCCGGGACCCCGAGCGCCATGGAGGACGGCGTTGTAGGCGTCGGGGACGCCGCGTGCCATACCTCGGTGCCTCAGATCACCGTGACCTACATCGACGACACCCCCACGGTGCCGCCCCCGGTCATCCCCGCCCCTCGAGAGGCGCTGCGCAGGATGGCGCTCACCAGCAACCTGCCCACGGCCCCCGTCCCCGCTGGGACCCTCGCGCCGTCCGGCTCCATGCGCATGCGGCACCCGCGGACCTCCATCGGCGGCGCTGCCCCGGTCCGAGGCCCGTCTAAGGGCGCCTTCCCCTACCCTCCTGCTCCCCTGCCCGGCCGGAGAGCGCCCTCCACGCCCTCCCCGCTGACCACCTCAGTGACCTCGTTCAGACGGAGGGCCATGAGCGAGTCGACGCGAGCTCGGACAGACGAGGCGCCGCCCGCGCCGGGTACAAGGGATGACTCTGCGGAAGACAGCGAACGGCTGTAACAAGACTGACAGTGCGAGTTTGTCCACAGCCTCTTAGGCTCTGCCGCCGAGTGGCAGTGCATTACTTCCCGGTCCCATCCGGCACGTAACCCAGACGATACGCACTCGCGTATTATCGGCTTGTCGGGGAGGGGTTGCCAGAACCCCTACCCGCGATAGGCTATCCTGCTAGGCCCTGAGCGAGCCTTAAAAGCACGCTTTAATCAGGACAGACCTCCAACTCCAACGTAACGTGTGTGTTGTGTCCCAAGACGTGTATGCTGCTACCTAGCAGGATTCAGGATTTACTATGGCGAGTGCTGTTAGGAAATCCTACCAATAATGGAATAGGTTTATTTTGGTATACTTGCAGTATTCCGTGTCAATAAACCTGAACCGGTGTTATCAGAAAAATCTGCTTTTGTAACTTCTCGCCAGAGGAGGTCCTATCTGTTTCTCGGTATGTGTCACGCATCAGTAGTTGAGGAGAATGGGAGGGGATGTGATGTTGTTCATGAAAAGTTCCATTAAATGTGATTCAGTTAAATTAAGGAGGAACTCAGTTTATAAAACAATAACTCTTTTATACAATGTCTAATT